TAAAGAGGGCATGAGAACGAGGTCAGGCCAGTGTCCCGGGCACTCGGCTCTAAGGGGGCCCAGTACTGGGTCAGTTTCCCAGCCCACTGGGAAGAAAGGTCACCTCCCAAAATGCAACTGTACTGAAAGAGTGCAGAAGGAAGAAAAGGTAGAACACAGTATTTTCAGAAGCTTTATTTGTGCCTTCTAGATATTCCTGAACTGACTCTTTCGTCTTTAAAATGGGGAAAGGGGATCCTGGATTACTTGAGAGCCATCTCCTCTCCCCGTTTCACCCCACAAAAATCAAGCTTAAAACTAGTAACTGAGACACTCTGCAAAAGAGGGAGGAGGTCAGCTATGAAGAAATTTAAGGATTGGCAGAGAGAAAAATCTGTTCCATCCTTAAAGTTTCTCTCTCAGAATGAGGAAGTTCTATTTTTCTCCAATTCTGTCTGGACTTTTATAAGCCACAGGTATGTGGGCTATGTGAGGCCTCTGTGATCATGCAAAACTTTTAAGTGATAACCACTTTCCTAAAAAGAAGTGGGAAATGACAGAATTAAAATAAAAAACGATAAAGCAGAATGACAAGACTATGAGCCAAGAAGTTTTCATCTATATTTTTCAGCCTTTTTAGAGTTTCAAATATGACAGCATTAAACTAAAATGTCAGATTTTTTTTTATCATTTATATTTCCTCAAGTCACTAGAAATAAACCAAGGGTGTTACAGGTAGGCTAGGGCTGCATCTTCCTGAACAAAATAACATTCTCAAGGGGAAAAGAATCTGTGTAAACAACACGTGGGAATTTATCCTTATAGATGTTCATACACTGGGAGACAAAACACAAGAACGCCAGCTGCGATGGTCAGATCCACGGGGCACACAGAGAATCAAGGACTACACCCACAGCAAAACCTTCACAGAAGAAATTATGCCGTAAAGGATTAACCTGCTTGCTTGCTTGCTTGCTTAACCTTTTTGGGACGAGAATTTTGCTATAGGATATGTATGGTTCACCAGAAAGACAGAGAGATGCAGAGAGAGAGAGAGAGAGAGAAAATGAGAAATCACCCCTCTCGGGATTTTGGGCACACACGCACACATGCCCAGCATGAGTTTGAGCCACTGGGTCTAGGACTGAAACCACAGTCACCCACGTGGGAGTCCAGCAACATAACCATTTCACCATCTGCTGGCCCCTTCACCTGCTTTCAAATTTCCATTAGCAGAGAGGGTGAGATGTTGTGGTCTAAGAAAACAGAAAAACCAACCACTATCTGGGCATCAAGAGCGAGCGCTAATTCCGGCACAGCCTAACCACACTTCATGATCTGGGACTGTCCCACATCTTTTCCAGCCTCGATGCCCACATCCGTAAAACGAGCAGAGCGTGTACTAGTCCTCGCCAGTTTCATTCACTCATTCAACAAATATTTATCTAGCCATAAACGTCAAAGCATGATTCCAGGTGCTTGGAGAAACACCAGTGAAAAGAGAAAATCTAGTATTTCCAAATGGCATTTATATTCCAAATTCCAAAGTTTCTTATAGATCAGTGTTTACAAAGCATGAGTTGTAAAACCCATTACAGTATCAAAGGAGCGTTTTAAAAAGAAATGAAACAGAGTAGTACAAAAGTCACACACAGTAAGGGTGAGTTCTGTTTCATAAAACTGCTTTGGTTCTCGATAGCTATTTGCATGTATAAGGACTGCAGGTGGAGACGTCAAAGGCATTTCTGAATGCAGTGCCAAGAGTTTAAAAGTTCCTTATAGAAAACATCCTTTTGTTCCTGCCACTGGCCCTCATCCTAACTTCCACTCTCACTGCTTCCTGGGAATAATCTGTTCGTAGATTAAAACTTACTACTTTCTCCTTTCCCCCAGAATGGCATTTTAGATAAATATCAAAGAATACCTTCTCTTCAAATGAGTGTCCCCAGCCTTTCTGAGTAGGGTGCCTCTGTTCATCAGTCTTTTTTTCTTTTTTCTTTTTTAAAGTTTCTGCCAAAGGGCATGTTTGCTCACCCAGAGAGAGACCGTGAGAGGGGAAGAAGAGAAGTTACCCCCAGGGTGGATGGCCATGCCCCTTAACCACCACACCACCTGCGGGCCCACATCCTTCCTTTTTCTCTGCACTGCTTGTCAGCTAACTACAAAAATGCTTAGTAGCCAAGTCCACCAGAATGTTTAATTGGATTCAGAATGTGCAGGCCCTAAGAGCTCCCACACAGAAATACAAAGAATACCAACACAAGAAGAGCGCTGCTCGCTCCAGCTGTGTGCCATACTGGACGGTGAAACAGGTGTGCAAACTTGTACGCCCTGAAGGGTTCCAAGCACAGACTGGGAATCACTGCGCTAGGTCACCGCTCCTACTTAGCTACTTTAGAATCACCTGTTCTTACCAGATGACTGCTCAAGGGGGTAGTTTCAACTCATGCAAACTCTTAGGCCTGGGCACTTCCGGATATAAGTCTGTTTAAGTAGTTGTTCACTTGCTATTGTACAATGTCTCTTAACGTAAGCACACAGGCTCCTTCAGACAGCTACCAGGAATTGTGCAGCCAATTTCCCAAAATTTACCTACAGGGATAGCTAACCCTACCACTACTTTGGCTTGGACAGAAAACATCCAAAGGCGATCATGACTGTCCCTGGGAGACAAGAAGAGTAAACAAGAACCAAAAGCAACAAGCAGCACAAACTTCCCGGGAATCTCGGGTCCTCCCACACTGATCAGCAAGGTTATCTGCATTTAGGCAGCTGCAGCCCTGACTTCTAGGAGGTTTTTATGGCCCCCTGTCACTTAGGCGTTGCTGTTACTGAGCTCTAACTGGCTTTTCTCAGTACCTGAGCTCTAACTTCCCCGTGGTGTGTGTGACTCTCGTATATTAAGATCTAGACATCAGAATGGATGATATCACCCCGCCATCCTCTCAGGGGCTAGGCAAGGGGAGGCCCAGTGTCCTTTGTGGGTCCAGGGTGGGCCACGTAGCCAAGGGAAGGGCAGTAAAGCCTCCAGGTAACCCAACTTCACCAGAGACATCTGGCCTATCAGCCACCAACCTCTAGAGACCAGCTGCAGCCTCTCTCCTTCCAGGAAATGCAAACTGTATCTTCAACAGAGGCTACCAATGACAACTAAGAATCAGGAAAATATTGCTTCAGCATGCACCTTGTTTTCACCAAATTCACAAACTCAAAATATGAGGGGGGCCTCGAAAAATTTGTGGAGAAATGGGATTAAGTACGAGCTTATTTTGACGCAAAAATGTTTGAAAACCATGCAGTTTTTCATAGTTTACATTTTCCATGAGCTTTTTGAAGACCTCATGTACTTACAACTAGGATTCATGCTGTATCCTTCATCATTTTTTTTTTCTAATTTCCCCATTTGCTAAGCTTTCAAGGGCTAAAACGTGACCTATTCTTTATTAATGAGGTAAAAAATTAACTTCTGGGAAAACTAAGTGACTCCTCCGGCCGTTACCGTGAAGCTAATTCAACCCTGTCCCATCAGGCCTTGGCTGTGAAGTGAGGGAATTGACCTGGAGACTGGTTAAGACTGCCCCAGCTTTGGGCATGGGTGCTGAGTAACTAATTCTCTCCGACAGCGTGGCCCCTGGCCGGCAGGACAATCTCACACTGGCAGGTAAGAAAGAGTCATGACTTCCAAAGGTACAGTGAGTTTAAGTTTCTCTTTAAAAAAAAAAAAAAACTCTTCCCTAAGGATGTCTGTAAGCTGCTCCCAGTGTTACACAGCAAAATTCTTCACATGTCTTCTCAGGAACTTGAATTAAGCAGCGCAGAAATTGAGGTCTCGTTTTACCAAAGACAAACATCAGGAGGGTCTTCATAAATTACACAGACCACCAGAAACCAAGGCCCTCAGATTCCTCCTCCTGTTATTTATCAGTTCCAAGACCTCAAAGTAATCAGAACTCTAATGAACACAAAGATAAACCTTAAAATCCCAGTATACATATACACTTCCCCAATATTCATGGAGCCATCCTCTCTCTTTCTCTCTCTACGTTGCCTCTAGAACAGCTTGCACGCTAGCTACCAGACAGCATCACCTTTCACACTAACCACTTAAAAGCCAAGGAAACCCCAACTACATCTCAGTTTGATTACAGCAAACTCTACAAAATTCATAGTTACCAAATTTCTGAAGAGAAGGTGATCCGGGTGGAGATGGATTTCCACTAGGAGACAGGTAGAGATAGCTTTTGTTCACACCTGTATCAAAATCAAAGGGGGACTGGTAGTCCTCATACAAATCCATCTCACTGCAGTCCATTCCAGACAGACGCAGAACACATGGCTTTCCAACTGCCCGACAGGCTTCTTCAGTGGGGAGCCGCCTTGGTTGTATTCCCTTTGCACAGTGCAACCTCATTGAAGAGGTCAACCCCAGGATTCAAGGACCTGGCTTCCGGGCCCAGGTGCAGCATTTACTTCTAGGAGCCTTCACGCCCTCATGACATGCAGATCTATATAATAAATGGCTTATCCCGAGCAACCTTAGGAGGGGCTGTGTTCACCACCTGTTGTTAATTTCAGTCAACAATGAACACCCTGGGCAGGGAGTGGAGCTGGCTTTGGTAAACAAAGGAGGGCCGGGTTCTGCAATAGCGCTCAGATGAACAAACAGTTCACCCAAACATCAGGCACTGGCACAATTAACAAGAAATTACAATTTCTCTCCCTCTTTTTTTTTTTTCAAAGCCTGTCAGCTGACCGCAACTACACCAGAGCAGACCTTAATCTTCTAGGACAAGGAAGGATTACCAATCAGTAATCTCCTGCAAACTGCCATCTGGGTAAGACACTTTTTCCCACTCTGGATTACAGTAGAATTTTGAAAGTCAAGCTTCCTCATTTAGCAATCAGCTTTCTAAGCATAACTTGGTATAAAAATAAAGATACACTTCCATTATTATTTTATCTAAAGTGTAGTCTGGCTTGAGTCACAAAAATTTAGTCTTACTTTTTTCTTTTTCTTTTTGGAAAGATGGGGTTTCAGTTCCTTGCACTGAAAAGAAAAGAATCAGCCTTGAAGGTAAAGCTCCCAGGATTCTTGCACCTTCTTTGCCCTCAATAAATAAACCTGTGTGCAAACGTGCAGAGAATACACATTTCCCTTTGGACAGCCCACTCTGTGGAGTCAATGGGTCACAGGGCACTGGTAAAATTCTAAGTCACCAAACTGATTTTCTTTGACCCAAGTCTCTTTGCAGAACCTTGCTATGCTAACTGTGGCCTTTGCTCAAAGGATAGCACTTGGGGCTCCTGCTGGTTCTAATATTAAGGAGGTAAAAAAAAAATAAAGGCAACCTGCTGGCCCCCCTTAGGTGGCCAATGAGCTGTCAAGGCATATCACAAACAGCGAAGAAAGTGCTCTACCTATTCAAACCTACCTGTTAAAAACCTACGTGATAAAAAGAGAATGCAATATACTCTACTTGAATTGAAAACAAAATTGAAACTTAATGTATTTTAGTATTAATTTTTTAAAAATCAGGATCTAGTACTGTACAAATATATACACGCCAAGAGAGTCTCTGTTCATCTCAATTGATGATTAATTTCTAGTTAATCTTATGTATTCTATTTATTGCAAATCTTTATCTTATCTAAGTTTTTTCAAATTTAACAATAAAACTTTGAGAGAGGCAAGGGGCAGGACTTCAGAAGAAGACTCCTCCATGGCTCCTGAGAACTAGTGATTTCAGGGAAAAAAGAGAAATGAAGACTTTCTACTGATAATTCAGCCTCCAGCCCACAAACTTGAGTGGTTGGAAGCCCCTCTAGCCTACTCTCTGTCTCTGTCTCTCTCTGCCTCTGTCCCTGTCTTCTCTTTTTTTGGTAATTTTTCCTTCAAAAAAATTTTTAAGGTAAAGTATTCTTTGCTTTTAGCCCCACCTTTATCTCGCTAATAATCCCCTTTCCCCCACTCATCAAGGAAAGGCAAGGCACAGGCCTTCAGAAGAAGACTCCTCCATGGCTCCTGAGAACTAGTGATTCAACCAAGAAAACAAGCACTGCACGATTTTTTACTTTAAAAAAAATTATTTTACTTTTTAAAAAAAATTTTTTTGTTGTTTTTTAAATATTTTTCTTTTTCTGTTTTTTTCTTCTCTTTCCTTTTCTTTTTCTTTTATCTCATCACTCTCTCCTCAATTTCCATTCACTGTGTTTCTAGATGGACCTAAGAGAACCATAGCCAAACATCCAAATACTATTAGGGTTAACATATTCCTCAATATCCACTGAATCTGATCCACAAAGGGATAAAAATGGAATGGCAAAGAGATTTCAGATCATTTTCTGCACGCTCCTGAACGCTTAGATTGAACTTCAAGAATTAGGGAAAAAAACATCACCCATCAGATGACTAGAAATCACCACAGGGCCACAAGAAATACAGGAAAGCAAAAAAAAATACCTCTCCTCCAAGGGAAAAGAATAACTCCTCTTCATTCACAGACAGTTCAATGGAAATCATGGAAATGTCTGATAAAGAATTTAGAATATTCATAATGGCAAAGCTAACAGAGGTAGAAGAGAAGAGAAATAATGAACTGCAGAAAAGGCAAGAGAAAGGAGCTGACGAGTTCCAGGAGGTGAGGAAATTCTTGCAAGATCTAAAAGAGGAATTACATACTTTATAAAAGGATCAAATGGACCTGTTAGAGATGAAGGCTATAATACAGGAAGTCAAAATCTCCCTTGAAAGTATTCAAAGCATACTAGATGGGACCAGCAGTTAATGTAATGGCTATGTTGCTGGACTCCCACGTAATTGACCGCAGTTCGAGTCCTGGGCCCGGTAGCTTAAACTCACGCCGCGTGTGTGTGTGTGCGTGCCCAAGATCCTGAGAGGAGAATGGAGGAGTAGAGATTGTGGTGTGCCATCCCCCCAGGGGGGTGATTCCTCGCTTTCTCTCTCTCTCTCTCTGCCTTTCTGGCAAGCACATGCACCCTATAGCAAAAACCTCTTAAAAAAAAAAAAGAAACCACAGATAAGGACAAAATACTAAGATTGGCAAGAGAAAAAGGGCAAGTTACCTACAAAGGAAATCCTATCAGGCTAACAGCAAACCTCTCATTGCAAACAATGTGAGCAAGGAAAGAATGGGAAAATATATTCCAAGTGTTAAGGGAAAAGCAATTTCAACCAAGAATACTGTACCTGGTAAGATTATCCTTCATATGGGAAGAAAAGACAAGAATATTCTCAGATAAACAAAACTTGAA